GTAGTTCGACCTTGGCCTCGAGGGCGCTTATTCTTTGCTTTTCTGCTTTTCAGCGCTTCATGTTTTTCTGATCAGGGGTGCTAAGGGATGGGATCCCCTTCATCCTTCGACCCATCATGTTGGTAGTTGACCAGGCTTAATACGTGACCTTTGAGTGTGGTTTCCCACAGACGGCGCCAAATGTTTGACCCAATGACAGTTACTGCGCCAAGGAAAAGAATAGTGGAAGGCTTTGCTATTAATCAAAGGATGAGCATTACAGGTTAAAAAAATGTCTCTCTTTCTCTCTCTTTCTTTCAGCCCCTTTCTTATTCCTTTTGTCTTTCTATTTATAGGAAAGAAGGGACCGCCAATTCTAAGATGAACGGCTCGGCTCGGAGCCGAGCTATTTGCGTCCCATCAGACCCATCAGAGGATGAGTGGCCCGGATTCGCTGCTAGGGGCGGGGACGAACAGAAATAGCCTTTCTGTATAACCGGCGCTAGTCCCATCGGGGCAGAAAAGGGAGGTCTGCGCGGCCAACACCTGGCTTATGAGGGGATAGGGAGTGGTTTACGAGGCGAGGTGGTTCGGTGGTCAGAGGGGGTCTTGTCAATGATATGGTCTTCTGCAGGCGTTTGTCGGAGTCCACGTGCTAGGTTTCTATTGGGCCGAAGTGCTCGGTAATTACCGAGCGTCAACAGCCTACCTATCCAAAGACCACAAAAACATTTCATAGAGGTCAGAATATTAGATGTGGGTCATCTCCAGTCTAAAAGAAATTGTTATACCAAACATGAATACAAGTTGGAGAGAGAGAGAGAGAATTCTTAAGATTACTTCAGAGGGTTGCCTGCAAAAAACCCAAAAGCAATACCCTTAAAAGGGTGTCTCAGTTGAGGGAAATAAGAATCTACCTTTCTCTGATTGAGAACTGCCAGGCACCACAACTTTCCCAAGATTCCAAAGGGGTATCTGCAACATGGGAAAGCAAGATTATGTTGAGGAGAAAGTTTTGTGTAGATGGTGTTTTTTTGTCTTTTCCCAGAACTGAAAATATTTTGGTAAGGAAGGTGGATTATTTATCTGCCATCGTCTATTATAAAATCACCATTGACTAATCTTCCCAGATGCTCATAATGATATCTGATTGAGTTGTAGGTTTACTAAAAGAAATTTTTATTACAAAATCAGTATTCTACTAGTGACTTTTATAGGAGCATCATTTAATTTCCTTCAGGAATTAAATATGTAATCCAAATAAATTTGTAATTTTCTACACATTCCATTTTTTCCCTTCCCGGATTGAATACTTACCTTCTTGGATCCATTCACTTTATACTTCTTTCTTATCTTATTTTTCTTTTCTATGATGATATGTCATACTATGATGCATACTAGCCGTGTGAGAGGCCTTTATTTATCATGAGCGTGACTTAAGACTTTTTTTAAAAATTTATTTTTACAATTGTATTTTTCTAAAGGCCCGTCTTCAACTTTTTAATACGTTTTACTGAAAAGATACTAGCCTTTAGAAAAAGAAATAATAAAAAACAATCGTTAAAAAAAGGTGGTTTTAAGTCTAGGTAGATACAAGTCTTAGGCAACGGAAACCCATTAACAAAAGCTACCCCTTATTTCATGAGAAATTAATGCCATCCTATATTTTACATTTTAGTGGGCCACAAGGTTTAGGGTTTAGGAGAAAGAGTTTCAATCAAAAAATAAAATGAGTTAAAATCAGACTCCTTATTAAGGACGTCCCCTTTGGGTCCTTAAAGCTAGTGGATTCCTTGTTCAGTAGACCATCAAACACGAATAGAATATGACTCCTTATCCTAATAATAATATATAAAGTTAACTCTCCTGGAGCTTTAATATTAAATAACACAAGTCCACCCACATGTACATAAGAGCTTGCTTTCGTACAAGGAAGGAGAAGAAGAAGCCAGAGGTACCGAATCATTAATTTTCTTTTCTCTATCTACTAGTCTAGTTACAAAGAAGAAGTAGAAGAAAGAAAATGGAAGAGCGGAGGCTGACCGGAAACTCTAACTCTAATAATGTCCAGCTTCCATCAACGATGATAGAGGAGATTCTATCAAGGCTACCAGTGAAGTCCTTATGCCGCTTCAAGTGTGTCTCAAAGCCATGGAGTTCCCTAATCTCCGACGACCCCAGTTTTGTTGCATCGCACTAGTGCAAAGGCTTTGGGGAGGATAAAGATGATCTACTCTTCCGAAGAAGAAGAAGAGTCATATTTACTGATGCCGCAGGCAATGGCCTCCACTCTATGCATCTTGACTACGATGATGAGTTTCTCAATCATAACAACAAAGAAGATGCATCATCCGAACACGATAATCGCAATCGTAACTGTTTTGATTTCGATGAGGAGGTTGGTGGTAGTAATTTATTAGTAACAACAGCCACGGAGCTCCAGTATGTTTATAGCGAGTTATCAGGTATTTCGGTTTCCATGTTGGGTTGCTGCAACGGCTTGTTGTTATGCATGTTTTTATATGACCCGCAGTTATATTTGGTTAACCCAGCAACAAGGCAATCCAAGAAACTACCAGAAATACCAACAGAATATCTAATTGATGACCTCTACTACTTCTGCGACGTATATGGGTTTGGATTTGATTCTTCAAGATTATCCCCCTCGTTTTAACACAAGATCAGGAGGAGGTTCGAGAAATTCCACTGCCGCGCGAAATCAACTCTTCTCAAACTCGTCGTAGTAAGCTCGGGGTCTTCAGGGAATGGTTATGTGTAACGCTTGAAGGTGATTATGGTAATGCAACACCAACATACAATGAGTTTTGGGTTATGAAGGAATATGGAGTGGGCGAATCTTGGACTAAAATGAGGGTCTCCATCCCATATTGCAACTTGTCACATTCTGGTTTCTGGACAAAGTCTCATGATTTGATGGTGTTTGAAGAAGAGTTGGTTATGTACAATTTTAACAATCACAGCTTTCAGAATCTATACGTTCGTGAAATCGGCAAAGTTGGTAGTGTTTTAACATACTTAGAGAGCCTTGTTTCGCTTAAATAGAGTGAGAAAATAAAATAAAATAAGGGGGGTGTATTCAATTAGGATTCTAAAGCGTTTAAAAAGATTTTAAAAATTCTGGTGTATTCAATTTGGATTCAGACAAACTTTTAAAAAGTCTATAACAGTTTGGGTGTATTCAATCTAGACTTGTTTGAACGTTTAAAATGTCCATCTAAATGTGGGTGTATTCAATTAGGACTTGAAAAAAGTCCAAATAAATTTTCCTGTATTCAAAAGGAGATAGATTTGGAAGGATTTAATTAAGTGTTGGAGTTTGGAGAATTTGTAGGGTTTAGGTATAAATAATAAAGGCCAACATAAGTCCAACCTCCACCCCAAAGATTTCAGACGACATATTTTTTTTTCTCTCTGCAGAAGACGAACCACTCTCCAAAGGTACGTTCCTATTGAATTGGAGAACGAATCTTCTTCATCTTCATCATTACCAATTAATGAAGGGGATCCTGAACTAGTTTTCCAAACACAAGAACAACAACGAGCACATGCTAATGAATGGAGAGTTGGTATAGCTTTGAATATGTGGAGAGATGTTGGCCACAATGACAACAATGAGAATTAACGATATCGAATGAATGTTGCACATTTTTCTTTCAACATTGCTTTCAAAGAAGTTATAAATTTGTCACTATACTTTCATGAACGCCAGTTACTTTGAATTTCTTATAATATTTGCTTTTCGTGAATTTGTGGTGGGTGTCTTTGAATTTCTTATAATATGCATCCTCATATACAGAGAATAGTGTTAGAAAATTTTCTACCGTTTGACAAAACAATGCACTAAGCCATGCACTGACCTTGGGTGGTTACAAGCCTCCTGTATTAGGCAAACCTCCTCGTGGAATTCCTCAAATTACAGTGCTGTTGGTAGACTAGTGGAAGTGGCAATTCCAAGATCATGATATCTATTTTCATCCAAAACATCCTCAAGTTTCGAAGGGACAAGCCGGTTGAGGAGAGAAAAGTATAACAAAAGAGTGATAAAGTCTATGCAAATAGATCACTCTATAACAAAAGTTCATACAAAAGTATGGAAGTCTATAATTAAAGTCTATACAAGTTTATTAAAAATCAGGGTAAAACCTATAGGAGTTATACAATTTCAGGAAATCTGTCACTTAAAAAAAATCTTTCAAAATCGTACACAATCCTAATTGAATACAACCCCCTAAGTAATTGTACATTCTTTTGCGTTCATTATTTTGCACTTGTTCTTTCTAGAAGATCTAAGGCCTGATTCCTAACACATCTATCCATCCACCTATTTAATTTGGCATATTAGAGTTGATTGCAAACTCAACTAAACTACAATACATGCTCAATTGTCGCTATATATGTAAACAAAGTGGAAAATGAACCATGTTGATTCGGGTTCGGTTTATCAACTTGGGTCGGGTTTGAGTTGACGTCAGCCCAATTTTGATTTCAGCTCAGAGGTTATTTGACCCAAACCTAATTTGTACCCTTCTAACCCGGCTATATATTTCAAAAATCGGGTTGAACCGTACAAGTTGCACCGCAAACCCCAACAACGACCACGACGGGGTGGCTTAACTGGTATTATTTTGACCCGCGAGGAGGCGCGTGGGTTCAGAGAGATTAAGTTAAACGGAGCCGAGGACGATGCTGTCGTAGAATCAATCTAAAACCCATAATTTGTTTCTTCTATAACCCTGCAAACTGCAAACCACTGTCGTACAACACAGCTAAACATTAGGGACATCAAAGAAGATGCCGGTGATGGCAATATACTGATAGCGAAGTGAAGCTCATTTGAGATTTCATTGGATTTGGGGAAGAGAAATGTCGAAGCTTTTTCAGAGGGTTGCTGGGTTCTTCACCAACAGGACTATGATGGGAATGGACAAAGCCGGCAACCGTTACTTCGCCAAAAAAGATGAGGTTGATGGCATCAGTAAGTGTCTTTCTTTAATCTCTCTCTCTCTCTCTGTTTTTTATTGGTTGCTATTCTTTTTGCTGAAATTTTGATTCAGGGGTCTTGTTCAGATTGAGTTGAATCTTTGTTTTTATCATTATGGAATCTGTTGTGTTCTATCTGTTGAATTGGCCAATTGGGTTGTCATGAATATGCATTGTACTTCAAATTTTGCTTCATGGGGTTTTAAGGAATTGCATTAATTTCTTGACGCATGAATGAACTCTATTGTGATTTATGATTGCATTAGCTAACTTGGCAATTGCGTTGTTCTTATAATTTTATGTTGTCTTTGAACGAGAAAATGTATGCGAGTATAATTAAATGTGTCTTCTCTTATTAGTAAGAATTTTTCATACTGATAAACACAATACAAACAGAACTAAAGCTACACATACTACATCACAGAAAACAAAAGAGGAACTAGGCCCTTACAAGTACTGACCGAAAATGTCCGAGGAAACTGTATACTCACACAAAAGTATAGTAGCAGAAGAACCTTGAACATTTCTAAACCCAGCAACTTTAAAACAAAAATCTTCAATGATATTTTGCACGATCTGCAGTTCAGTGTGAGTAGGACCCTTACATAGTTGATTGTTTCTTCCAATCCAGCAGTGTTAGATTCCATTCGACGTCAATTTAATAACCAGTAGAAAAACTAGTCACTGGCCTGTTTAGACAACACTCATTCAACAAGTCTAGTCCCAATCCCTTTGGTGAATCTGCAAGTGCAAAAGAGGTGGCTTTTGCTCTCAAAGAACCGATGACAAAAATATAACCATTTTAAACCACCTGCATAGCGCAAGAAACTCATTCTCTTTTCAGTAGATAAAATGTCTTGAATTGCTAACCATGTAACAAATGAATGCTTTGGGAAGCAGAAACATGGTCTTCAATGGAATGATTGGGCTGAATTAGAAGATAGCCAGAGGTTGATTGGGCTGAATGATTTGCCGGAGTCGGCTGGACACCAAAAATCACTGAACTTACTTTAGCATTTATAGAGCTAGCTGCATAATACATAAGTCTTTGTCCTAACAGAATCCAATAAAGGCCCCTTGTGATGCTGGTCAAGCTACAGATAAGTTTTTCTACCATTTTTATATGATACTTATGAAATCTTCTAGGATGAGGTCGTTTTGAAAAGAAAAAAAAAGTTGTAGCAGGAGGTCTTAAATTTAGTACTCCATCTGGAGGAACATTGACAAGGTTTATTAGAAATCTGGAAATCCTTGCTTTGCAGCACATAACTCCTTACCCAGGCCACCCACAGAGAACCAGCCAGGGCGTACATACTCCAACTTCCAAATATGTCATAAAATTGAGGCCTTATTCTGGTCTTCGAATTTCTAAATCTTAAACCACCTTCTCTTTTGGGGTTACACACAATTCTCCAGGAAACTTTTGCTTCTTAATATCAGTAGCTTAACCTTCCGGTAGGAAAGCACACAATTTGTTGCTCAGTTCTTCTCTTTCTAACTTCTGGGCAAACTTCACTAGTTCCTGAGCAAGAAGTATATTCTCCAAGATTTTCCTCCCTTGAACAAAATCCGCTTGATTCATACTGATAAAATCTGGTGGAAATTTCTTGATTCTGTTGGTCAGCATCTGAGGGATACTT